TCACCATGGAGAGTTTGGGAGAGCATAGTGGCTCTAAACAAAAAAATGTAGTTTGAAACCATGGAGTTGCATCTATCGTTCTAGAGAAGCCAGCAACTGAATGAAAGGCATGTTTTGTGTCATTTACTGCATCCCGAGTGTGTGGGAACTGAATATACTGGCCCTGCATCACAGAGCAACACTTGGGACAGCTCACCAGAAAAACAACCCTGGGAGACGCACTAACTGGGATGGTGCACTGCAATGATCCAGATGCAGAGAGGATGCAGAGTTGCAAGGAGTTTATCTACAGGAGATATCCTTTTTGTGACTAGATCCAAATTAGCCCAACATTTTTTTGCAATTACAACATACAACGTTTCTATTTTCATCTTTGCTCACAAAGATAACTTACATTTAAGCCTAGATTTAGTTTCACTGATGAGTCATGTCTGTTTCTATCGCAGTGCCACCTGAGATCATCAAGATCACACCCATCCAGTCTTGTTTTCTCAGCTTAGTGTCCAGATATTCCTCCATATTCTCTGAATATTTCATTGGTATTATGTAATCCAGATGTTGGATTCCACAAATTCTTTGCAATTTTACACAGGAAAGCATTATTCTGACGAAACGCAGTCATATCCAGTTCACACACATCCAGTTAGTCCAGGCTTGTTTCTCCATGTATTTCTTTAGTTACATTGCACAGCTTTTCTGTTTTCTTGAAGACTTAAAGAAAACCATGACCTGAATGAATGAGAATCTACATGGGCACAGCTTTTCTGTGTTTTTTGTCCCTGTCCCACTTTTTCTGACACTCATTACTCATTTCAAATTTAAACAAACATATAGTTTTCAGAAACTTTGATACTTTCTCATTTAGTGTTTGATATCTTGTTTTTGCACTTTTCTTCAACAAAACAAATGGTTTCCATGATTTGCAAACTTTTTTTTAAATCAAATTTTATACAGGATCCCAATAATTGTTCTGACTGAGGTTGCATAAACGGATTGCTATGCTACCTTAATACTCACAAAAGGCCTCTGTACAGTACCTGTATAGGTCATCAGAGGTAAAATTGAAGGCATGGTGCCACCCACAATAGAACCGGTTGGGTGGTGAACCAGGCTCGGCTTCAGTTAAAGGCTCAGGCTCTGAGAGAAAAGGCGTACTTCAACAAATATGCTGCTTTAAAAAGCCAGAGCCTACAGCTAATGGCACTACAATAGAAACAGACACGACTCATCAGTGAAAATCAAAACCTAGGCTCAAATGTTAATTATCTTTGTGAGCAAAGATTGAGAATAGAAACGTATTACAACCCTTATTGCAAAAAAGATGGAAGACTGTAAAATATTGATAAGAAAAGATTTTCAGCTGTTTCTCTGAACTGTCAACCAATTTCATTTCCCACAGAGAAAGGACCGGTTAGACTCCAAAACTGTCTGCACAAAAGTTCTACTGGCTTCTTCTTTTTGTGCCCAGATTATATTTCTCTACAGGGGAAAATAGTGTCCTGTTTAGGGGTCAGTCTGCTACTTCTACAGGCATTGACACCAGGGGTCCGTTTCACATAGCAGGTTTAATGGAAACTCCGAGTTTGTTAACCCTGAAATCAGGGAAACTCTGAGTTTTCCGTTTCACAAAGGAGGGTTAGTTAAACCAGGGATAGAGGGGTAACTCTAACCTGTTTCACAAAGAGAGGTAACTCAACCTCGCGGTCAGTTACCACAGTAACAGACTCCGTGAACCTAACCTGCTCGGGAGCAGGTTTAACTCAGTAAACCCAGAGTTTCAGGTGAGAGATCGGCATTTTCTCATTTTGATCAAGGTTTATTTTGTCAAATAAATGTTAAGTGGCAGTTTGATCCCTTCAAAAATGCTCTTTTCACACTCAAAACTGAATTTTACTCTCTTATGATGTTCCGTTAAATGATTAGGAATTTAAACTAACACAAAAACGGGTGGTGGTCCAGCAGCCCCACCTTTAACGGAGGCAGAGGAGCTGCCCCCCCCCCCCCCCCCCGGTCCGATCGCAAATCCCCCCACCCCCCAGACACACACGCCAGTCCGACAGCTCCTCTGCCTCCGTTAAAGGTGGGGCTGCTGGGACACCACCCGTTTTTCTGGCATCTGCCCTCTTTCTGTTTGCTGAGTGAAAGTCTAATATTGAGTGTAGTGTGTGTTAGTTTAATATATGTACATATACATACTGAGAGCTAGTTTAATATTCCTAATCATTTAACGGAACATCATAAGAGAGTAAAATTCATTTTTGAGTGTGAAAAGAGCATTTTCTAAGGGATCAAGCTGCCACTTAATACTTACTTGACAATGTAAAACATGATCAAAATGATTCAAGCAGTTTCCCTGCAACAGTCTGTCATTGTGATTGCACGAGACTAGATTTAAAGTTACGCATTGACGCGAGCAGCGATTTCCTCCCAAGCCCTCTCCCTCTCCTTTGCAGCTGCTGCTGTATTGCACTTTCTTTTAAAAACGTGCTGTAATTCGCTGTTGGCTCGCTGCTGCCCCCTCCTTCTCCCTGTTTCTATTGGTTGATCATTGAATCTGTGCTCCACAGATGCTGGCTGTTTATGTCTGGCGTGCACGTGCTTAACTCCAGAGCTGCGTCCGAATTGCCAAGTAGTAGTCGAAGTAGTAGTCGAAGTAGTATCTAGCATGTCCGAATTGGCCACCGGAGCGAGTAGCATGCTACTTCAGATACTACTTCAGATGCTAGACACGCCCACATTGTAGGTTGGTCTCGGTGCATCCTACGGGCATGCTACTGACCCAAAATGCACCGCGGGCTTCTTCTTCGTCCTCTTAAAAGTTGTAGAAGCGCATGTGATGCTAGCGCCACCAGCTGCTGCCTATTTAGATGCGTCGCGAACGCCGGCTGGCCACAGCAGCGCGCACCATGTCGGAGCAGCAGCAGCAGCAGGCGGGACCGCAGCAGTACAGATGTAAGTTTCATGTAACTTCACACACTGTCCTAAAAAATGTGCGGTTGTATCTCTTTGTCATGTCATGGTGTCATATTTTCCCAAGTAATCATTTTATGAGCAAGTGGCGACATCATGGAGGTAAAGCTCACTTATTCCATCATTAAACTGCACAGCTGCAGTACTACAGCCAGGCCCACAGATGAAGGGCTTCAGTTACCACTGTCTGCACGGGCGCAGTACCTACTCTCTGCCTGCGGGGGTCGTCTTTCCCCACCGCTCGTCTAGTGTGTCCGAATTGGGCCAACGTTTTTAGTATGTAGGAGTAGGATCTAGCAGTAGCACGTAGCAGTAGCATGTAGTATCCGAGCGGGCAGTTCGGACGCAGCACAGGTCAAACTACTCGGAGTTGATAAAACCGTCTCAAATCAGGTGTTGTGAAACCGGAAACTCAGAGTTTCCTAACTCAGAGTAGATCAACTCAGAGTTAAGGATTTAACTCAGAGTTTGTTGAACCACCTACGTGAAACGGACCCCAGAAGAGTACAGCCTTATGTGCATGATAATAATACTGGTAATAGTGGCTCACCTCAGCAAACTTCAAGTAAGAATTGATATGATAGGAGGAGTATTTAACCTTTTGCTGCCATCTAGCTGTAGTTTTGTAGATTGCAACAACTTTACCGTGGAGCCTCGCCTCTCCTTTTCTGTTGTGTTAGAACCTACCCCCTGGTGGCAGTTAAAACTTCTGTGAGAAAAAAATATCTTTTTTTCAGCCTTGAGAAGTATAAAATTGCAACATGGTTTACTTTGTGGCTATACAGCACATAAATCCGTTCTTTTTTCACATATCATGCTTTCTCTAAGGCTTCATTTCTAAGTGATTACACACACATGGATATAAACATACAAATAAATAGTGAAGTCAATTTCTGCCAGTAATGGCTCCAAAATCCTCCCAAACTGAAACCTTTGGCTTTTGAACCAACAGCACTGTTAGGCACCTACAGGCATGCTGCCAGGGATTTAAGTCCCCATATGATGTTCAAATTACCTAACACTAGAGGAGGAAAAGAGGCTTGTTTTACTTCAACCTCAGCAGTTTTCCTCACAGCACCTTTCCTAAACTCACTTTCCATTAAGAGAAACTGGATAGCACACAGTTGGTCTTTTTTTGTACCTCCTTCTGTCTTTCTTTTCTTTTACAGGTGCACTGTTGCACTCCTCATATGGGCTATGAATGGATAACCTACCTTAATTTCTTCTCATGGTGATTGCAAGGTTTTTTCCATTTAAGCTGCCACATTTGTTGACATTCATCAAGTGTATTTTAATTTCATAGTTTGATCAATGTCCTGTTTGTTAATGTGATTGAGGCTGAGTTTATGACCTATACTGCAGCAAGCCAGCAGGGGGAGCTCTGAATCTTCGGGCTTCAGTGAGCACATACTGCCTCCTTTTTAATATACACCCTGAAGTGAACTATTTACTTGAGATTTTGGGTCAGACTTACCAATTTTGGAGGGTGGGTCAACAAAAGAAAAAGATACTGTTCTGTTTATCAGTACATTGGCAAGAAAATTCCCACTCGTGTGTTTTCATATATAAATATCATATTGTATCCTTAAGGGCCCCTGCCAATCATCCCAACTTTTCTTACTATATACATTTTTTGGTAGCTTGAAGTCCTTTGCTGCCCTCGCTATTGTTAAGACAGCTGAATGAAAATTATGCCTGGAAAAAATTGACCCACCCACAGTACAAAAATAAGACTAAATGCTTGTGAAAGTGTGCAGACCTGGGCAACACAGGTGCCCTTACCAAAGCTTAGCACATACACACACACACACACACAAAAAAAAACACTTGACATTTCAAAGATTTTGTATTCTGATCATTGCAAAATTTATGACAGAGAATGTACAAACTTTGGTTCTCACAGAATACAACAATGCAAGACATAAAAATAGGCCATAATAGTCTATAAAATATATTTTTCCTTATATTGTTTCATATTTCATTAGTATTAAGTATTAAAACATCCTTAAAAATACTTAAAGCAATGGCCCAAGGTTTGGGGAATATATTTCCTGGTAAGGTAGATATGTTCCTTCATGTAATTTATCCTTCATCTAATACTTTGTTTATTGAGCTCCCATGTTGCTACGTGGCAGGTTACTTCATGTTGGCATCTTGATGCATCTGTACAAATTATGAAGCCCTTTTTTTAATTGATGATGAATGCCTTCACAGTAAGTTTTGCATGTAGTCAACTGCATGAATCACTAGCAATGTCTCATTGTCTCAAACATATTTGACTTTAAAAAAGAGCTAAAACTGCTTTAAACTCAACACTTATAAATTCTAGTGAGTCATGGTTTAAACATCGTTTTTATACAAAAATAGAGAAGGTAATATTACTACAAGTTATTTGGTTAAATACAGTTCTCAGTGAAACCATTAAAAGGGTATTTTTAAACTTGTGCCCCCAGAGCTTTAAAGAAAGTATATCTAGATTAATTTGTATACAATTAACTTGGCTTAGTGTTTTAAGTAAGTCACACCATTCTGTTTGGACCAGGATCCCTGACACTCCAACAGACACATGTTCAGTTTCTGCAGACATACTCCGTCCATTGTGATAAGGACAAGTGGAATTACATACTTAGCTCATCCAAAGTATGTTGGAGATCATCATGAATGTTGGATAAACCAAAAGCAGAGTCCTTCTCACACCAGCACTGACCATCATGCTCTGATGGGCATTAAAAAGTCAGCACTGATGCTAGTGCTGGTTTGACAGAAGCCATGACAGCAGTACCATGCAGAACGCAGTGATGAGACTGATGCTGTGGCTTACTCCATTTGCGGTTATCATTATAGCTGTAAATGAGTGGAAAGTACAATGAAGCTTTAGTAAAAGAATTATGTATACTTCAAAATATACTTCAAAACATTTTCAACAAGCAGCACATTATATTCCTTACTTATGCCATTCACAGTGATAGAGTTTGTTTCTATGTCAAAGCCAGAAACAGTGGAAGACGCATTGAAAAACACTGCTCCAATCTCGTTGCCACTTGGAACTGATGTGCTAATAAAGCCCATCTGCAGCTGGTTGATAATTGATCCTGATCTGTGGGGACAAAAGGAAACATAATTGCTCCACATACAAGATCAGGCAACTTATTGTAATTTGTAATATGGTCTCTCCCAAAAATTACCTGTATGCTGTCACATCAATGGTTTTAAATGAGTCGAATGCCTTCTGAAACAAAGGTTTAAGCTGCCAAAACAGAAAATAAATTGTATTATACATTTCTTCTGTCATTTAAAAATGCCTTTCCACGTGTAAGGTACTTTGACTAACTTGACCTTTTATTTGTGGACAGTCTGAGGCAAGATTATCCCATTTTCCTCATAATTTGCATGATTTACTGTGGACTAGTTCACCTTTTTAAGGACAGGGGAAACAAGCTATACTTGGTTCCTCAATAGCTTTTCAGAGTTTGGAAACAAATTATGTTTTGAGGTCTTTATCTCTGATCAAGCAATTATGACTATGTATCAGTCATATAACATGCTATAAGTGGTAGACTGAGAGTTAGACAAAAGTTTTGTTTCTATGCCAAAATCTGGATGATCAAAGTCCAAATAGCACCCTTTTTCTTTATAAACAGATCCATGGTAAGTCTTCTTGTCCCCCACTGTTTTGTAAAGAGAAGCAAGACCAAGCAAATAATCTTAATCTTTCCTAATTCACAAGACACAATCACAAGTACAGTTAAGGTTTAGAGTATGAGGTCTTAGTCCAACAATTAAGTTCCTTGGGTACAAAGTTGAGCTTCTGTATAAAGTAAAGGGTGTACCAGTTGTTTCTGTGGTGATGTCTGAGACTTACCTGTGATATTATTAATTGTGAACGTTTTTGAGCAGCTGCAGATGATAGATTCCCCAAATCACTTGTGAAATTCTGCTGAAGGGATCTGAAACTTGCATTAACGAGTTTAATTCCAGTAGTTGTGGGCGCAGCAGTGGCAGGTGTGGCAGTTGTATTTGCATCTGGAACTGGACCCTCTATTCATATAGTTTTTTTTTTTTAGAAATAAAGTAATGATTGTTTTATTTAATCGACAATAGTTCCAGATTCACAGTCTTAATGAGAATGTGCAGGATATACATCTTGTTTTGTTTACTCACCCTGGACTATAAAAGAACTGGCAACAAAGCTACTGTTGGTATTACTTGCAGCTTCTATGAAGGTCTCAGCAACAAGGGAATTTGTTGGAAGATCTGAGGCTGTGGTGTTTTGATTGAAGATGACAGCCATTTCTGTACCAACACCATCATTTCGTGTTGTCACAGGTCTGTATAATGAAACCAATGGAACATCAGGCAGTTGTGTTGTTAAGAGTGACACTAACAATGTATATAAGAAAGTCATTATCATATTTATAAGGCAAGGTCAGTTAATAGAGTTAAAAAGATTTATTTACCTAAACCTTATCAATAGACACCTCAAAAATAGATTCCCAAAGGTCTTTCTGTAAACTCTATCACACTGTAAAAAAATAAGAAAAACACCCAAGGAAAAGTGACATTAGGATTAAATCCATTGTTTGAATCAATCTCTCTTAAAAATTTGTGCATAAAACTGATGTTAAATAAAACTTTGGAAATACTTACTTCATCCTCAGATTCTCTTTTAAGGTCTTTAAATTTAAGGCTTTCTGGATTTTCCAGATCAGCTGTAAAGATTACACCTCTTAATATAGCAAAAAGTTTATACTGTGGAGCAGCTGTAGCTGTTGAAGCAACTTTAGTTGTTTTAATAGTTGTGGCTGGTGCAGCTGTTGAAGCAGCTTTAGTTGATTTAGCAGCTGTAGCTGTTGAAGCAGCTGTAGTTGTTTTAATAGTTGTGGCTGGTGCAGCTGTTGAAGCAGCTTTAGTTGATTTAGGAGCTGTAGCTGTTGAAGCAGCTTTAGTTGTTTTAATAGTTGTGGCTGGTGCAGCTGTTGAAGCAGCTTTAGTTGATTTAGCAGCTGTAGCTGTTGAAGCAGCTGTAGTTGTTTTAATAGTTGTGGCTGGTGCAGCTGTTGAAGCAGCTTTAGTTGATTTAGCAGCTGTAGCTGTTGAAGAAGCTGTAGTTGATTTAGTAACTGTGGTCGTAATCGTGGTTGTAGGGGTGGTTGTTGTGGTTGTTGGAGTGGATGTAATAATTGTTGTTGCTGGTGTTGTTACTGTTGTGGTTCTTCGAGCAGCTGTTGTTTTTGTTGTTGTTGGGACAGCTGTCGTTGTTGTTGTTGGGGCAGCTGTTGTTGTTGCTTGAGAGGTTGTTGTGGTTGTTGGATTAGTTGTGGTGGTTGTTGTAGCGGTTGTTGTTGTGGGTGTTGGAGCAGCTGTTGTGGTTATTGGCTTAGTTGTTGTGGGTGTTGTAGCAGCTGTTGTTGTGGTTGTTGAAACAGTTGTGGTGGTTGTTGTAGGGGTGGTTGTTGTGGGTGTGGTTGTGGTTGTTGGAGCAGCTGTTGTTGTTGTTGGGGGAGCTGTTGTTTTTGTTGTTGTTGGGGCAGCTGTTGTCGTTGCTTGAGAGGTTGTTGTGGTTGTTGGATTAGTTGTTGTGGTTGTTGTTGTAGGGATGGTTGTTGATGTTGGAGTAGCTGTTGTGGTTTCTGAAGTGGTTGTAATGGTTGTTGTAGGCGTGGTTCTTGTTGTTGGAGTAGCTGTTGTGGTTTTTGAAGTGGTTGTAATGGTTGTTGTAGGGGTTGTTGCTGGAGTGGATGTAATAATTGTTGTTGTTGATGTTGTTACTGTTGTGGTTGTTGAAGCAGCTGCTGTTGTTGTTGGGGAGCTGTTGTTTTTGTTGTTGTTGGGGCAGCTGCTGTTGTTGTTGTTGTTGGGGAAGCTGTTGTTTTTGTTGTTGTTGGGACAGGTGTTGTTGTTGTTGTTGGGGAAGGTTGTTGTTGTTGTTGTTGTTGTTGGGGCAGGTGTTGTTGTTGTTGTTGGGGCAGGTGTTGTTGTTGTTGTTGGGGAAGGTGTTGTTGTTGTTGTTGTTGGGGCAGGTGTTGTTGTTGTTGTTGGGGCAGGTGTTGTTGTTGTTGTTGTTGGGGCAGGTGTTGTTGTTGTTGGGGCAGGTGTTGTTGTTGTTGTTGGGGCAGGTGTTGTTGTTGTTGTTGTTGTTGTTGTTGGGGGATGTTGTTGTTGTTGTTGTTGGGGAAGGTGTTGTTGTTGGTGTGGTTGTGGTTGTTGGAGCAGCTGTAGTTGTTGTTGGGGGAGCTGTTGTTTTTGTTGTTGTTGGGGCAGCTGTTGTTGTTGTTGTTGTTGTTGTTGGGGCAGGTGTTGTTGTTGTTGTTGTTGTTGTTGGGGCAGGTGTTGTTGTTGGGGCAGGTGTTGTTGTTGTTGGGGCAGGTGTTGTTGTTGTTGTTGTTGGGGCAGGTGTTGTTGTTGTTGTTGGGGTTGTTGTTGTTGTTGTTGTTGTTGGGGCAGGTGTTGTTGTTGTTGTTGGGGCAGGTGTTGTTGTTGTTGTTGGGGCAGGTGTTGTTGTTGTTGTTGGGGCAGGGTGTTGTTGTTGTTGGGGCAGGTGTTGTTGTTGTTGTTGTTGTTGTTGTTGGGGCAGTGTTGTTGTTGTTGGGGCAGGTGTTGTTGTTGTTGTTGTTGTTGTTGGGGAAGGTGTTGTTGTTGTTGTTGGGGGGAAGGTGTTGTTGTTGGGGCAGGTGTTGTTGTTGTTGTTGTTGTTGTTGGGGCAGGTGTTGTTGTTGTTGTTGTTGGGGCAGGTGTTGTTGTTGTTGTTGGGGCAGGTGTTGTTGTTGTTGTTGGGGAAGGTGTTGTTGTTGTTGTTGGGGCAGGTGTTGTTGTTGTTGTTGGGGCAGGTGTTGTTGTTGTTGGGGAAGCTGTTGTTGTTGTTGTTGTTGGGGCAGGTGTTGTTGTTGTTGTTGGGGCAGGTGTTGTTGTTGTTGTTGGGGAAGGTGTTGTTGTTGTTGTTGTTGTTGTTGGGGAAGGTGTTGTTGTTGTTGTTGTTGTTGTTGTTGTTGTTGTTGGGGAAGGTGTTGTTGTTGTTGTTGTGGTTAGGTGTTGTTGTTGTTGTTGTTGTTGTTGGGGCAGGTGTTGTTGTTGTTGGGGCAGGTGTTGTTGTTGTTGTTGTTGTTGTTGTTGGGGAAGGTGTTGTTGTTGTTGGGGCAGGTGTTGTTGTTGTTGTTGTTGTTGGGGCAGGTGTTGTTGTTGTTGTTGTTGTTGTTGGGGCAGGTGTTGTTGTTGTTGTTGTTGGGGAAGCTGTTGTTGTTGTTGTTGGGGCAGGTGTTGTTGTTGTTGTTGGGGCAGGTGTTGTTGTTGTTGTTGGGGCAGGTTGTTGTTGTTGTTGTTGTTGGGGCAGGTGTTGTTGTTGTTGTTGTTGGGGAAGGTGTTGTTGTTGTTGTTGGGGCAGGTGTTGTTGTTGTTGGGGCAGGTGTTGTTGTTGTTGTTGTTGGGGCAGGTGTTGTTGTTGTTGTTGGGGAAGCTGTTGTTGTTGTTGGGGCAGTTGTTGTTGTTGTTGTTGTTGGGGAAGGTGTTGTTGTTGTTGTTGTTGTTGTTGGGGCAGGTGTTGTTGTTGTTGTTGTTGTTGTTGGGGAAGGTGTTGTTGTTGTTGGGGAAGCTGTTGTTGTTGTTGTTGGGGCAGGTGTTGTTGTTGTTGGGGAAGGTGTTGTTGTTGTTGTTGTTGTTGGGGCAGGTGTTGTTGTTGTTGTTGTTGGGGCAGGTGTTGTTGTTGTTGTTGGGGAAGCTGTTGTTGTTGTTGTTGTTGGGGCAGCTGTTGTTGTTGTTGGCGTAGCTGTTGTTGTTGTTGTTGGGGCAGGTGTTGTTGTTGTTGAGGCAGCCGTTGTTGTTGTTGTTGGGGAAGGTGTTGTTGTGTTGTTGTTGTTGTGGGCAGGTTGTTGTTGTTGTTGGGGCAGCTGTTGTTGTTGTTGTGGGGCAGGTGTTGTTGTTGTTGGGGAGCTGTTGTTGTTGTTGTTGTTGTTGGGGCAGCTGTTGTTGTTGTTGTTGTTGGGGCAGGTGTTGTTGTTGTTGGGGCAGGTGTTGTTGTTGTTGTTGTTGTTGGGGCAGTTGTGTTGTTGTTGTTGTTGTTGGGGCAGGTGTTGTTGTTGTTGGGGCAGGTGTTGTTGTTGTTGGGGAAGCTGTTGTTGTTGTTGTTGGGGCAGGTGTTGTTGTTGTTGTTGGGGCAGGTGTTGTTGTTGTTGTTGGGGAAGGTGTTGTTGTTGTTGTTGTTGTTGTTGGGGAAGGTGTTGTTGTTGTTGTTGGGGCAGTTGTTGTTGTTGTTGTTGGGGCAGGTGTTGTTGTTGTTGTGTTGTTGTTGTTGTTGTTGTTGTTGTTGTTGGGGCAGGTGTTGTTGTTGTTGTTGGGGCAGGTGTTGTTGTTGTTGTTGGGGCAGGTGTTGTTGTTGTTGGGGAAGCTGTTGTTGTTGTTGTTGTTGGGGCAGGTGTTGTTGTTGTTGTTGTTGTTGTTGTTGTTGGGGCAGGTGTTGTTGTTGTTGTTGTTGGGGCAGGTGTTGTTGTTGTTGTTGTTGTTGTTGTTGGGGAAAGTGTTGTTGTTGTTGGGGCAGGTGTTGTTGTTGTTGTTGTTGTTGGGGCAGGTGTTGTTGTTGTTGTTGTTGTTGTTGGGGCAGGTGTTGTTGTTGTTGTTGTTGGTGAAGGTGTTGTTGTTGTTGTTGGGGCAGGTGTTGTTGTTGTTGTTGGGGCAGGTGTTGTTGTTGTTGTTGGGGCAGGTGTTGTTGTTGTTGTTGTTGGGGAAGGTGTTGTTGTTGTTGGGGAAGGTGTTGTTGTTGTTGTTGGGGCAGGTGTTGTTGTTGTTGGGGAAGGTGTTGTTGTTGTTGTTGTTGTTGGGGCAGGTGTTGTTGTTGTTGTTGGGGCAGGTGTTGTTGTTGTTGTTGTTGGGGCAGTTGTTGTTGTTGTTGTTGGGGAAGGTGTTGTTGTTGTTGTTGTTGTTGTTGGGGCAGGTGTTGTTGTTGTTGGGGCAGCTGTTGTTGTTGTTGTTGGGGCAGGTGTTGTTGTTGTTGGGGAAGGTGTTGTTGTTGTTGTTGTTGTTGGGGCAGGTGTTGTTGTTGTTGTTGTTGGGGCAGGTGTTGTTGTTGTTGTTGGGGAAGCTGTTGTTGTTGTTGTTGTTGGGGCAGCTGTTGTTGTTGTTGGCGTAGCTGTTGTTGTTGTTGTTGGGGCAGGTGTTGTTGTTGTTGAGGCAGCTGTTGTTGTTGTTGTTGGGGAAGGTGTTGTTGTTGTTGGGGCAGCTGTTGTTGTTGTTGGGGCAGCTGTTGTTGTTGTTGTTGGGGCAGGTGTTGTTGTTGTTGGGGAAGCTGTTGTTGTTGTTGTTGTTGTTGTTGGGGCAGCTGTTGTTGTTGTTGTTGTTGGGGCAGGTGTTGTTGTTGTTGGGGCAGGTGTTGTTGTTGTTGTTGTTGTTGGGGCAGGTGTCGTTGTTGTTGTCGGGGCAGGTGTTGTTGTTGTTGTTGTTGGGGCAGGTGTTGTTGTTGTTGTTGGGGCAGGTGTTGTTGTTGTTGTTGGGGCAGGTGTTGTTGTTGTTGTTGTTGTTGGGGCAGGTGTTGTTGTTGTTGTTGGGGCAGGTGTTGTTGTTGTTGTTGTTGTTGTTGTTGGGGTAGGTGTTGTTGTTGTTGTTGTTGTTGGGGCAGGTGTTGTTGTTGTTGGGGAAGGTGTTGTTGTTGTGGTTGGGGCAGGTGTTGTTGTTGTCGGGGCAGGTGTTGTTGTTGTTGTTGTTGTTGTTGGGGCAGGTGTTGTTGTTTTTGTTGTTGTTGGGCAGCTGTTGTTGTTGTTGGGGCAGTTGTTGTTGTTGTTGAGAAGTTGTTGTGGTTGTTGGATCAGTTGTGGTTGTTGTTGTTGGGGTGGTTGTTGTTGTTGGAGTTGTTGTGGTTTCTGAAGTGGTTGTTGGTTGTTGTCGGGGGGTGGTTCTTGTTGTTGTTGTTGGGGCAGGTGTTGTTGTTGTTGTTGTTGGGGCAGGTGTTGTTGTTGTTGTTGTTGGGGCAGGTGTTGTTGTTTTTGTTGTTGTTGGGGCAGCTGTTGTTGTTGCTTGAGAAGTTGTTGTGGTTGTTGGATTAGTTGTGGTGGTTGTTGTAGCGATTGTTGTTGTGGGTGTTGAAACAGTTGTGGTGGTTGTTGTAGGGGTGGTTCTTGTTGTTGGCGTAGCTGTTGTGGTTTTTGAAGTGGTTGTAATGGTTGTTGTAGGGGTGGTTGTTGTGGTTGTTGTCGGGGCAGGTGTTGTTGTTGTTGTTGTTGGGGAAGGTGTTGTTGTTGTTGTTGCTGGTGTTGTTACTGTTGTTGTTGTTGGAGAAGCTGTTGTTGTTGTTGGGGCAGCTGTTGTTGTTGCTTGAGAAGTTGTTGTGGTTGTTGGATCAGTTGTGGTTGTTGTTGTAGGGGTGGTTGTTGTTGTTGGAGTAGCTGTTGTGGTTTCTGAAGTGGTTGTAATGGTTGTTGTAGGGGTGGTTCTTGTTGTTGGCGTAGCTGTTGTGGTTTTTGAAGTGGTTGTAATGGTTGTTGTAGGGGTGGTTGTTGTGGTTGTTGGAGTGGATGTAATAATTGTTGTTGCTGGTGTTGTTACTGTTGTTGTTGTTGGAGCAGCTGTTGTTGTTGTTGGGGCAGCTGTTGTTGTTGCTTGAGAAGTTGTTGTGGTTGTTGGATCAGTTGTGGTTGTTGTTGTAGGGGTGGTTGTTGTTGTTGGAGTAGCTGTTGTGGTTTCTGAAGTGGTTGTAATGGTTGTTGTAGGGGTGGTTCTTGTTGTTGGAGTAGCTGTTGTGGTTTTTGAAGTTGTTATAATGGTTGTTGTAGGGGTGGTTATTGTGGTTGTTGGAGTGGATGTAATAATTGTTGTTGTTTTTGCTGTTGTGGTCGTTGGAGCAGCTGATGTTTTTGTTGTTGTTGGGGGAGCTGTTGTTTTTGTTGTTGTTGGGGCAGCTGTTGTTGTTGCTTGAAAAGTTGTTGTGGTTGTTGGATTAGTTGTGGTGGTTGTAGCGGTTGTTGTTGTGGGTGTTGGAGCAGCTGTTGTGGTTATTGGCTTAGTTGTTGTGGGTGTTGTAGCAGCTGTTGTTGTGGTTGTTGAAACAGTTGTGGTGGTTGTTGTAGGGGTGGTTGTTGTGGGTGTTGGAGCAGGTGTGGTTGTGGTTGTTGGGGAGGCTGTTGTTGTTGGGGGAGCTGTTGTTTTTGTTGTTGTTGGGGAAGATGTTGTCGTTGCTTGAGACGTTGTTGTGGTTGTTGGATTAGTCGTGGTGGTTGTTGTAGGGGTGGTTGTTGTTGGAGTAGCTGTTGTGGTTTTTGAAGTGGTTGTAATGGTTGTTGTAGGGGTTGTTATTGTCGTTGTTGGAGTGGATGTAATAATTGTTGTTGCTGTTGTGGTTGTTGGAGCAGCTGTTGTTTTTGTTGTTGTTGGGGAAGCTGTTGTTGTTGGAGCAGCTGTTGTTTTTGTTGTTGTTGAGGCAGCTGTTGTCATTACTTGAGAAGTTGTTGTGGTTGTTGGATTAGTTGTTGGAGCAGCTGTTGGTGTGGTAATTGGCTTAGTTGTTGTGGGTGTTGTAGCAGCTGTTGTTGTGGTTGTTGAAACAGTTGTGGTGCTTGTTGTAGGGGTGGTTGTTGTGGTTGTTGGAGTGGATGTAATAATTGTTGTTGCTGTTGTTGTAGCAGCTGTTGTTGTTGGGGCAGCTGTTGTTGCTTGAGAAATTTTTGTGGTTGTTGGATTAGTTGTGGTGGTTGTTGTAGCGGTTGTTGTTGTGGGTGTTGGAGCGACTGTTGTTGTGGTTATTGGCTTAGTTGTTGGTGTTGTAGCAGCAGTTGTTGTGGTTGTTGAAACAGTTGTGGTGGTTGTTTTAGGGGTGGTTGTTGTGGATGTTTGAGCAGATTTTGTTGTGGCCACTTAAGACAAAGAACAAATATATTTACTTGGATATATTATTGAAACATTTTTAATTCCACATAATTGAGTGTTTGACTTTATTTAAGTTTACTTGAATTTTTCCATCCTTAAAATCTTATTTGTCACTTTTTTCATCTTAAATAGAGTTACCTGTCAATTACTGGTAAAAAAAACAAGTTCTCACTTAAAGACTAGGGAGATTATACATATATGTGTATATATATATATATATATATATATATATATGTATGTATGTTGTATATGTATATATATGTAAATATATATGTTTTTTTTTTCTTTTTAGTCTCTGTACTTCCTTTCTGGTTGCTTTTATTTTTAATTTTCAGATCAGAAAAAGCCTTGTGTTTCTCACTCTGGTTTATTTTAATGTCACTATTTCAGACTGAAACACTTGTAGTTGCCATTTCTTGACCCCTCACACACACAGGCACACAGGCACACACACACACACACACACACACACACACACACACACACACACACACACACACACACACACACACACACCAGCTTAATTCCGATTGGCCACCTCTCAGAAGGCTTTCTAAGGGCAGAGCTTGATGTTTTGGCTCAACCCCTCTCTGTTTTGTTCAATCAGGAGAGCAGCAGAGTGGGGTAACGTTCTGCTATGGGTGTCACTTCACACGCTGTTTGAGTCAGGCCATTCTGCTTTGCCATAAACACAGATGAGCTAGTAAGGAGAGCCTATTGCGATGATGCTATCATTTTAGTATTCCTTGAAATTTTTTTTTTGCAAGGTACAATTTTGAGCAGCTAACACCTATTTTCTTGCATTATGACAACCTTGTGATTTGAAACTGCATACACCCAGTATGGACACCAAACTGTAACTTTGCATTTTCTGTTGTAAATGTGGAAAAGCATAATACCATCCTTTTAAACTATTTTATATTAGTATCATTAACAAGCATACCTGTTAGAATCAAGAAGATTGACATGATCCACCTGCTGTCCATATTTCCTGCTTCTGAAAAACAAACCATTGCTGAGATTTCACACAGTGGTAGCTTGTAAAAACATTTGGCACAGCAGTGACCAGCAGGTGACATAATTTTTCTCCCTCAAAGAAATGTTGCTATATCTTGTAAAATACATTCCTTTAAAAAAAAAGAAAATGTTTACAAATTTTGTGAAGCAGTCTCATTTGGTCATTCTCAGTTGTGTTTGTCAAATGATCAGTTAGGGTGCAGCATTTGTCCCTTCAACACTCATCCGTTTCCTGAGGCTTAAATATCTTAACTCTGAAAGCACATTTTAATGTACACCTTTCTTTAACTCTTTACGTCCAGAATAATACACTTTAAAGTGCAGTTCTCACAGAATCAAGCATCAATGATTTAACTCAAACTGATTAATGTATATATACGGGCCAGGACCACCAGTTGTTGGACAGCCTGTATCCAACAGCTGTCAGGCTGTTGAATGCCCAACCTGTCTCCCAATCTCCCAACACCAGTATAAACGGCACTGATTGGACTTTGGACTTGGATTTGGCATAGGACGTCGGACTTGTATTTATGCTTCTCGTGTATTTATTTATGTAGTTTATTTATTATTGCACTGAATACTGCACTCGGGTGTATCTGTTTACATGAATGATGTATGCCAGCGGTGAAGCTCTAAACTGAATTTCGTTGTTTTGCAATGACAAATAAAGTTCTAATGTAATGTAATCTAATCTAATCTAATCATCATAATAATAACAATAGATTTTATTTGTAACACACTTTACATTTAAAAACAAATCTCAAAGTGCACAACAAGACAACAATAACAGTAAAAACCAGGCAACGGGGCAGAACAATAAAAAACAGTCAGCATAAAAAACAGATAATCATATGTATATATATATATATATATATATATATATGTTTTTTGTAATGTTGTAGGGTGAATTTAATTGCTTTCTGTCCTTGCTGTCTTTCCCATACACAACCTAATTTCACTCCTCTAGATGCTTGAATGACAGATAGGGATAAAGATGAAGCAAATGCTCAAATATTTTTTTCAATTGCCTTTCCAGTGCACAATATTAAAAGACACAGGTATACTGTACTTACAAAAATTAGGTTCCCACTATGCCAAGAGAAGACACTTAAATAACATGCCAACACTTAAAAAAGTCCAATATAAATCATGTTATATTTTAATGTTATCACTTCTCAATTAGCAAAGGATTATATATTTAAAGAATAAATAAATATTAGAGCAGGCAGTTTATTAAGAAAAAAAAGGAACATAAAGGCTTTACTTACCTCAGCTGAAAGCTAAAACTGTTAGGGATAGAAAGTTATAAATTCCTGCTTTCCTCTATATATCACCTTTAGATTTGTCTCCAAAAATGCTTGCTTTTTAGATCAGCTCAAGGCTGTGATGTTGTGATGCTGAACACCTGTTGAGAGCTTTATATATATTGGAACAGAAAAGGCACTGATGACGTTACATTTTAGAGAATAAATATTTCAAAAATGTTGCATGGCCTTTGTGACAAAATTGAATTACAGGATACAGTGGGTGAACTGTCAAAATGTCATCTTCTTGGCTTCACACCACAGTATACACCCTTTTGCGGTGCTGCAGAACAGGTTGCTTGCACATTCCACCTTTATGAATGTATCAGGAAGTTCTATCAGTGTGACAGTAAGTTATGACAATCAAATAAAAATAGCTCCCAATCAAACAGAAAGTAGTAAAGGATATATTCTCTTTAAGTCTAAAATACATTATTACAGTATATTCAGTAAATACTGTGAATGTTTTTGAGTTGTTGGCTTAAATATGTGACTGTAAACTGCAACTCAAGTCAGTTAAAAAAACAATGATACATGAACATGTTACAAGGAAAACATCTCAGTTTCACTGCATCACACAACTTGTGACATCGAGACATGAACATGATATAAAAAATTAATTGTTTTGAACATTTAACTTTAACCATATTTTAGTAACAAACAGAATTAAAAGATAAGGTGCCTTAACAGCGTTAACGCAGAGTTGATCAGCTTAGTTGTTAGTCTTCTAAAGACCCTTTCAAGATGGTATGGTACACAATAAATGCTCTTTGAAAAAACCTCATAAACAATGGTGGACCACTTGAGTAAAGTATAGATCAAATATTACTAACATACAAGTAAAAATAAAAATTGAGTCCAAGTACTGGAGAACTTGCTTTTAAAAATATTTCACTGTCCAAACTACTCCAAGAAAAATCGCAAATAGTGCATTTTCACAGTGCCTGACTGCAATAAAAATACATGGGCGTTCATGGTTACTGCTTTGTCATGTTTATTCATAAAACATTGTTTATATCTTTGTACTCGCACACTATAGATTAAAAAATGTAGAGCTCCATAATAGAAGGAACATTGAAAGGGACATGAAGAATAATAATTAGATAGACTTTCATTGTCATTCAGTATGCAGCAGGTGAATGCAGAACAAAATTTGTTTGCATAGACCTCAGTCTTGAGATTGAAGCACAGCGGAGATGTATGTTAGACAGACAGACAGAAGAACAGATAGATAGATAGATAGATGGATAGATGGATAGATAGATAGATAGATAGATAGATAGATAGATAGATAGATAGATAGATCAGCCAGCTCTGCAGGGGGTTGATGAAGACCAGGGGTCCCAATTTGTCTACCAGGTGTTGTGAAATAATGGTATTGAAGGCTGAACAGCAGCCTCACAAGTGTTCTTTTCCTCCAGGTGTACGAGGAGTGTAGGATAGAGGAGATGGCGTCCTCAGTGCAGCAGTTTAGCCAGAAGGCAAACTGGAAGGGGTTGAGTGTAGGAGGGAGCCTGGAGATGACGTGCTCCTTTACCAGCCTTTCAAAGCACTTCATCATGATGGGGGTCAGTGAGATGGGCTGGTAGTCGTTGATATAAGTGATCTGAGGTAAGAAGGAAACTAAGGTACTGTAAGCACAAGTACCCTTCATTTAAAACGAATTCTTCTTCATTTTAAAACCTCAGACTTGAGCTTAAAGTAAGTTCTGGTAAGCTCGGGTGCTGCCTGAGCTTGCAAGGACAAATCACTCCAACCATACTTAAATGAACTGCTTGATCTGAGTGACATTTGCTCTTAGTGTGCTTAGCAGGATTCCAAATCTTACTCATGAACCAGCTCATTTCCACTGAATAGACCAATTAATGGTCAATTATGAGAACAAGATAAGGTACAAAAAAGAATGCAACAACTGGATTATGGCTAATACCCCAATGTTAACAGGGAGACACATATACAGTATTTTACATATTTTGCATCATTATCATATTGTTGGCTACCTAATGTAATGCTAAAATAGACAGTGACATAAATGTCAACATTTCCAAAATAGTCATCTACAAAATAATTATTCTTGTGCAAACAATCCTCCTTTCTCTTTTTTTTTAAACTAGGAATTGGGGTAGCTATAATGTCCACTGTGTTCAAATGTGTTTTATTACTTAGTCTCAATTTCTCACCTGGTTTTCTGTCAAAAGTCTGTGTGGCTGCTGATTTGTAAGGGACCACAGCTTAACAGATAAGACACAGTTGTACTGGCATGTTTTGAACCTTGCCTGGCAGTACTGCATGCTACTCTCTTTATTTTTGCCTTTGAAGAACTCACTGTTGGGTGTTATGGCCACCGTGATCAAACAGGTAAGGCTTAAAGAGGGAACATCGCGGAGGAAGGAATAACAAACGCACAGTTTTCAACATTTAATCCACAATGTGTATTCGACAGCAAACACTTAAATGTGCAGATATGGAGATAATTATGAAATTAAACAAAAGAAACTGGGGACCTCAGGCAAACAACAAAACAAACACTTTAGATTGAGAGATGCTGGGCGAGATGTGTGAAAGACTGCTACATGCAGCACCTCCCCCATAACTGCCTTAAAAAAACAAACCTAAAAACGAACCAGAGATCAACAACTAGTGGCAAGCTTGAGCTGACGTAAATGACAAACTAAAAAAACACAACCCAGATACCAGTCGTCTCATCTCTTTATCCTCACCTCCTCCCTGAGCACTAACAGCAGTCATGTGTGCAACTGGCAGACAAGGAAGACCAGAAAGACGGGGAGAGAGAACAGAGGCCTGTACTGCGGAGTTCACCTTAGGTTTCTGGCATTTGGTGCACCCATAAAAGAGGTTGGATCAGTGGCACTTTCAAAACAATGATTTAAGTCTATCAGTGGTAGCACAGCATGTTTCACGAATGACTTGCTAACTCTGAAAATATGAGGAAGTCCTTTAATTACAAGATGCAGACTCTGTAAAAGCGTCACATCAGTTTAATAAAATTCTTTTGTCACTGTTATGGTACGAGAGATCTGATGGTTTCACCTGCCTGTAACATTCAGTAAAACATGTCTCTCACACTTGATCTTTTAGCTTGCATTTGTGCCCAATCAGTAGTAGTATCACCCGGGGGGGTCAAAAGTTCTCTGGAGTACAATACAACAAAAATTAAATCCTATCTAAAGTCGAAATGACAGTTTCCTGAGAAGATTCAGAGGAGGAGGCTAATACAAGGAAAAGTGTGGATATTCAAAGTTGGTAGAAACTTAAGCAGGGCGAGGAGTTGGGATTTGTCCATTAGAAAAAGGATGTAGAGCGTTCATAACATGAACAACAGTCTCATTACCAAGAGAATTAAAAGTGCATGGGCTAAGATGTCAAGACGAAGCAATATATCTGGATTGATCTGGAGGAGGAATAGTGTCAGCTGGGGGCTAAAACAAAAGTAGGAGAAAAGTTTTCATCTCCTTATTCTCTCTTTTCCCCCTCTCATCCTTTATGAGTGTGGAGAGAATTGGGGGAGGTGAGGCGTACAGCCTAACCTGGCAGAAGGAAGCTATTACCCAACCAGGCTTCTCTCCTTGGCTATGGCTTTTCTGTTGAACATTTTTCTTAAATTTTCTCTCTGTCTCTTCTCTACCCTCGTTGCCTGTTAAACGAACTGTTGCTGCATTGATTCTCTTTCCCATCATGTCCCACTGAACTTGGGTTGGTTAGGACATTAAGAGCCATGTAGCAGACTATGTAACATTTCAAAAGAAAATGTATGTACATTGTTAACTCAGTGATTAAGTCATTTCATAAAAGCTCAAGTTGTGTCAAATTAAGCGCAAACCTTATATAAAATGTGTGAAGATATGTGTGAAAGGAGCAGCTCTCAGCAGATCACATTTTTACAGAGTGCGTGAAATCCCTAGTCATTGTACATGTGTAACCCGTCTATGTACTTAGTTGTCTGAACCTTATGTTTTCTCTGTCGTGACGGGAGTGGAACTTTGCATAAGCCTCTTGGCTCCGTTCCCTCCCTGCACTATTTTTAATCTGTGCTAAATAAACAAATACAAATACAACACAATGCACTTCTTTTTAACCCTTGTGTAACGCTGTGGCTAAAATCAGCCACTTGGGGCACGTAAATTTCCACGTGACG